ACAGAGCGCCGGCCGGGGAGGGTATCCGTGTGCGCGGCTGCGCGGCGGGTGGTGCTGGACGCCCTCCTGGACGCGTGTCGCGCCGGTCGCGCGCCCGCCGCCGCTGACATGTCGCACGCGCCGCTCCGTGTAATGACATGCATGCTCTGTCCAGGAAGCGCGGCCGGGCCGCCGGGGACGCCACACGACGCCGATGTCGCCCCAGTAGTGCCCCACACTCTCCCCCTTCCCCCGTCCACCCATTGAGGGCGGCTCCTCCATTCAGTGTTCCACTTGCGTAATGTGGAGGTCGGTTTCGCCCGGCGCCGCGCGGCGAGGCGAGGCGAGACAATGAGCAGGGCGCGATGACGACCCTCCTCCGCCACCATATACCCGCGCGTCGCCGGGCCCGCTTTACTTTCATAATCGTGAAATAATTCAATGACGACGGAACGCTTTAGCGGCCCCCTCCCGCCCCGTCCCGTTTGCACCCCGCGGTGTGAACGCCGTGCACCTACAAGTGAACCGGCCGAACAGACTGATCTGATCGAACCCGAGCCTGACCTGGCTGGTGTGGCTGCTCCGTTACAGGGCTGCTGCGATTAGTACACAGAGCTGCTCCACCACACTGTGCCGCACGCCGACCGCTGCTCTGTTTTTACGCACGCCTCGGCCCATAGAACAGAGCGCCGCCGCAGGGCCGAGGGCGATCCTTGACATTTGGCCGCTGCGCTGCTGTGTGTGTGTATGTGTGTGTGTGTGCTGCTTTTGTATCGGTGGGCCGGGCCCGTCTGCCAGTCTGTTACGATACACCCGTAATAATAACGCTTCTGAGAACACGCGCTTGTGGCGGCGCGCGGCGGGGCGCGCCAGACCGCGGGCGGCGGCCGGGAGCGCGCGGCGCGGCGCGGTCGGCCGTGCTACACATCTCTCCACAGACGTCACCCTCTCCTCCTTCCCCCTTCTCCTTTTGTGAGCCGCGCGCGGCGCGGGGTCCTGCAGCAGCTCTGGGCCCTGTGTGTCTGCATTGTAGCTGTAGCCGAGCCGAGGGCCGCCGCCAGGTGGGGTAAGGCGGGCGGGCGCGGGCGGGGCTGGGCTGGGCTGGTTCTCCCCACATGCCTACGCGATTTTTGTGCCCCTATTTATCTGAGCCGTTATTCAGGGACAGGGGGCTAATCTTTTCATCGTGCAGTGCTGCAGGTTTCCCTGTACAAGCTTTACAAGGCAGTTCGCCGCGCCGTAGGCTTTGAGACGGGGCGGCGCCGGAATGGACACGGAGTCCCCCTGGGAGCGACGGGGATAAGATGGAGTGGGGAGGGGCGGGCGCGAGCGCCACAAACTTGCCAGCCAGCGAGCCAAACCTAGCCGGGCCGGGATGAGTGTAATTGTCCCGTAAAATGACGTTTAATGAGGACAGCGGGTGCGCCCGGCCGGGCGCCTGCTCGCCTCGGCCGCCTCGGCTAGAGCCGGGCAAAGAGCACCAACAAAGGGCGCCTCCTCCCCCTGCCCGCCGAGCGAGAGTGAGAGACAAGGGCCGGAGAAATAAAGCAGGCGAAAGTGATTTTCCACTCGACTCGAACCAACGTGACCCTTTTGCCATGGGATATACCCTTGTAAAAGTTTTGCCTCTGCTGCGGCGGGCTGTTCTGCTGGTGAGATTGGGATTGGTAGAGCAGCAAGGACGAGCGAGTCGTGTACGCTCCCGCTTGCGCACTACTCGTTGGGTCAGATCTGGCGAGTGCTGCGCTGGGCTCGGGACCGCTCGGGACCCTTGCCCCTGGCGGCGGCACTGGCAATATCAAATCCGGAGGGCCAGCGCGGCCAC